TTCGATTTGTTCTCCGATACCGATCAAGATGAGGAATTTATCATTCCGAATTTACCAGAGGGAAGTTTTATAGTTATTGACATCATGAGCACATGGGGTGATCGTCATTACGTGGGATTGAATGGAATGGAGATATTTTCATCATTGGGACAGGCTGTTTCAATAAACAAGGCAAAGTATATTTTTATATAAAAATTATTAATGATTATGAATTATCAATAATTATTCATCAATTATTAATAATAATAGTTACAATACTTTATTGCTTTAGGAGAAGTTATCTGCGTCTGTAGCAATTATTATTCATTATTAATATTAATAAATGTGTGAAATGATAAATTTATAAATTATAGTAGACTTTGGATGTGATTTATCACGGATTTGATTGATTTCTCATAAGTCTTAGATTATTTTTTGATAATTATTTCGTTGTGACACTTTGCGCAGATATGGTCACAATTTGATGATTCCAATGAATCATCGGACGATTCATCTGTTGCCAATTTGATAAATGGCATCTATCGAACACGTGATGACTTAAATATGTGGCACGCGCCGTACAAACGAGGAAGACTAATATCAATTCACGTGGAATTATCGGAGAAAGTGCATATCGGACTAATTAGGATATGGAATTACAATAAATCGAGGATACACTCTTATCAAGGTGCCAAAGATGTCGTTATTAAATTAGATGATGTTGTTATATTTTCGGGAGAGATAGCGAGAGCTTCAGGTGACGTCGTGGGTGATATTAATTCCTTTGGGGATGTAAGTGAAAAATTATTTATTTGTTTTTTGTCAATTAATTGTAAAGCAATTAATGTGCCCTGTTGCCTAGACTTTCTAAATTCTATTAAAATTCTATTATTTATTATTCTATTTGAATTGAAATAAATGAAATTAACGGAAGAAATCCCAGAGGGAAAACTGAAAATTTCTGGTTAATTATTTTCTGTTTAATTATATTAAAAAATGTCAACAGAATTATTCAGATAGAATAGAATAGAAAAAAATTGATGAGATTGCTATGGAGTTGTTTTTTAGATGAACAATCCTCACGGCAGTTATTGTTTTTCCAGACAATTTTATTCACAACAGATGAAAATATTCTGGAACTGATTTCCCAAAATGATCGAATATTTCACGAGTTCATCGATTACTCAACGTCTGAAGAAAT